TGAAACATATGAAAGTAAGTTTCATACTCACCCACGATGGAGAGTAAAATTGCAACAACTATATACTAATTCAAGGAACACACCAAGAATGAGTTAAAAGTTGATTTTGCCAAATTGTGATTTTGATAATACATATCTTGTACTTCATAGCTGATTTTCATAGCATGAGCTTAGAAAAAGGTAATGTTTACAAAGAAAAAAAAAGTTTCAAGCCAGCATTCATTTTTCCAAAGGCCTCTTCCAACTCTTTTTCAAATCATTACCTTTGGAAGTATTAATTTTGTCATCATTTTTGATGTACTTCTCTCCTCTAATTGTTAATTTGGCTAGGTCATCGTTGGTCCGCTTCATGGAAGCCCGACTTATTTTTCAATTTCGTGAAGGCCTGTGTTCTTCCTAACATTTGCACAGGCACTGTGTCCTATCGACACATTAGCGTTAAGAAGACTGATCACCAAAAATAAGAATTCAGCCCAATAGATCCTTTAGTACATGAATATCTCTGAAAGGGAACTCATCTTACAAGTGGTCATTACAATTTTTATGTCCTCGCCAATTTTTACGTTCACATGTCATCATCTAGCTGCAGGGACTCAAAGAGCGAACAGTGAAAGGGTGAGGACCTCACTGAACACAGAAGCAGAATGTGGGAAGACTTTGGACAGGAGAGGGCTTCCTTTGCAGCCACAGCCAAACATTCCCCAACCCTTGTCACATGTTTTCAAAGTTCACTCGTGTTGAGCTACCTAGCGCAGTCATCTTTTGTGTAACCCTTAAAGCTTTTCTTTTTTCCTTTTGTAAGTCTCTTATTATTGACTTGATACTTATAAACATCTTAAATTCCCAGAATGCTGTTGACTCTCCCACATTAATTCCCTCCCTTTTTTCCCTTTCTTCCTGTAGAGGACAGAACAGACGGATCTTTATTTTCTCACTGCCCCCAAAGCTAGGCTACACGTGTGACTCAATTTCGACTAGATATCTGAGGCAATCTACGGTAGACCCGACAGGACATTTTTCCCCCTCCTGTTACAAGGAGAGAAGCACACGAAGAGAAATTTCTCTCCTTCCTGTCTATACCTCTTCTTCTTGCCTTTGTTTTCAAAATTTTTTTAATGTTTTATTTATTTCTGAGAAAGACAGGGGCAGCATGAGGAGGGGAGAGTCGGAGAGAGAGGGAGACACAGAATCCAAAGCAGGCTCCAGGCTCTGAGCTAGCTTTCAGCACAGAACCTGATGTGGGGCTTGAACCCACGAACCGCGAGATCATGACCTGAGCCGAAGTTGGACACTCAACTGACTGAGCCACCCAGGCACCCCATCTTCTTCTTGCCTTTGAATGTGGTCCACTGAAAATGTCTTGCCTGAAGTTGCAATAGCCACCTTGAGACCATGAGGTGATGAGCCTAAGAGAAAAAAGTCCCCAAACCTGCAGATTGTGTTTAAGACTAAATTCTTGTCAATGTTACTGACTCATCTACTCAACTGTGGCACTACCTGTCTCTGTAATCCTTGTAAAATGACCTGTTTTCGTGCTTTATCTACTGCTAGTTGGCTTTTGGATTATTTGTAGGTAGAAGCATTCCTAATTATACAGATTCATTCATTCAACAAATGTGCATCCGGTGCTAGTGCATGCCAAGCACTGTTTTAGGACCTGAGGCTGTTGCAGTGAATAAAACTAAGTTCCTGCTCTCTGTCCTAAAGCCTGCATACTATTGGGAGTGGGGAAGAGACAATAAACAAATAAATACGTTATGTATCAGGCTGTGATCATGGCTGGGAAGAAAAAGCATGACAGAGAGGTGGCGTGTGTGCCATTCTACACAGTCTGTGAAGGTGTCTCTGATAAGATATTTGAGCAGGGACCAGAAGGAAGTGAGGCAGCAAGCAGTGAGGGTATCTGAGTGTGGTCAGAAGCACCTAAGACAGTCCCTGATGACCGCCACACCCTTATTCATGCCTGTGGAGGCCTCTCTCCTTGAGTGTGGCTTCCTGACTCCTCAAGAACAGAATATGGTAGATGTAAAAGATACCACTTCTGAGATTAGCTTGCAAAAAAACCCTGTGACCTCCGGATGGGGCACCCTCCCTAGCGTGTTTACTCTGTGGGAAAGCAAACTGTCATGTTGTGAGAGAGCCCAGTGATGAGGGCGTGAGAGGCCTCCCAACAACCACTTGAATGAGTTTGAAAAGGGATTCCCCCCCACAACCCTGGTTGAGCCTTCAGATAAGATGACAGCTTCTATTCACAGCTAGACTGCCGCCTCAGCTGAAGGCACCCAGCTAAGCCACACCACTGATTCCCGACCACAGAGACTATAAGACGATAAGTGTTTTTTGTCGTAGCCACGAGGTGTTGGGGTAGTTTGTTATTTTACAGTGATGATCTGGGAGAAGGGCATTCCAAGCAGGGTTTACACTTAAATGCAGAGGCCCCAGGTCAGCAATGTGCTAGATATGCCCAAGGAACAGCAAAGCGGCTGATGTGGCTGCTGCAGAGTGAGCAAATGACAGATGCACAGAGCAGAAGAAGTGGATGGGGTTGGTCCAAGAGCAGGGATTGCTGAGAAGCCACTACAGTTGTCTAGAACTCTCTCCAATGAGGGTATCCTTTAATGTACATTAAGGCATAAATTATTAACAAGCCCTTTTGTTTTCTCATGATGTTTGCTAGGTAAGCCATGATGATCTCTAATACACTGAATTTCAGATACCTTCATTCCATTGTCTTTAAAGTAAACTCTACCCCCAGCATGGGGCTCCAACTCACCCCAAGATCAACAGTCACGTGCTCTACTGACTGAGCCAGCCAGGTGGCCCAATTTCACTCCATTTTTTTTGCACTGAATGGGTGTGGCTGAAAAAGTGAGACAAGGAGAAGGGGGAAATAATGGGGGAAGAAAAGAAAAGAAAAGAAAAGAAAAGAAAAGAAAAGAAAAGAAAAGAAAAAGTCACTGATGTCCTCTGAACACTACCAAACTAACCCAGAAGGATCTGAGGTCTAAGGATACCAGGTCTAAGCAGGAGGAAACTCCAGACACAACTCCAAGGTGGGCAAGCTATGTTTAACTGCTGTAGCTGCGACCAGATTTTGCATAAGCCAGACAATGGGGCTGGGGAGAAAACATCTTTGAAGCAAAACACCATTACCTGCCTTCTTACCTTCCCTCCCTCACTGAAAAACAAACAAACCCCAACGATGAACAGATATACTCAGCACCTGCATGCACACGGTCAGGTTAGCTTAGGCTTGGGATAATGACATAAATCAAGACTTTTGTGTATTTACTTCTTATTGTAATCCTTAAATCCTTACACTGCTGGCAACATTCAGGATCTTATTTGGTTACAGTATTTGGTAAATACCCTGTAAAAACTTGCCCTAAAGAACAGAATCTAAGAACCAACATTAAAGATGCCTAATCATGTTGCAGTGATCTCAGAAATAGGTGGCTTTTTAGAAGGTGTTAAGACTTAGTTGAGACTTTTTAAAAAAAATCACTCTAGAATGAGGTGCAAATAAACACTGCAGAAGAACCAATATTAAATCTTCTTTTCAGTGGTTCTTTTGGTGCTAGAGAGGAAGAGAATTCATAAAGACCGGTTTTTGTCAATATAAGCTGCATTACTATTTGGCATGAAATGAAACCAAGAGATCCCACTCAATTTCCTAATTTTCCTTTACAAGGCACCCAAAAAAAGTAGCTGTAACTTTGTTTTTAAGAATTTAGTATGGAACTGTGGCTTTCAGTTTGGAAAGCAATCCTAGACAAAGGACAACATGATTCAAAAATGCAGAATGGCATCATTATACCAATTACCCAATAAGCACAGAACTGAATTCTGAAGGAAATTAAAATTGTCCTGGGACAAACCGCTGTTTGCCCTACTCAGAGGACAAAAGAAGACAGGTCTATTTTTATCCTTTCATAAGATCTCAGTTCCATAAAAAGGAAGCATTGGTCTCCACCTATCCATTATCAGGAACAAAATATAATGGTTGTTGATCAAGATAAAAGTGACCGACAAATCTCTTCCAGAAAAGTTCTAAAATGAGCTTGATCGCTCTAGTCCCGTTCATAGATGCTGGAAAGGACAGGAGGAGAAACGGCAAGTGTTTCTGGTCGTGGGCAGAGCCAGTAAGACCCTCCCGTTCCTTTCCCCCGACTCTATCACCTATGTTGGAGGAAGCTCCGTGCACTGGAGTCAAGACACCCGGTTCCATTACCGGCTCTGTGACTTGATTTATGTTTTCGACCATGCGAACATAAACCAGTCAGGAGCCTCGGAACTGTTTTTTCGAAATGCAAAGAACTCTGGCATCAGCATGACACAGGCGAGGGAATTAAGGTGCAGAAAGGAACAATGACTTGCTCCAACTCGCAGCCCACGGCAGAACCAGAATTCAAACCCGGATCCATCAGACTTTACGAGACTTCGCGAACAACTCAGTTTTCTCGAGAGTAAATGGAGGAATAACACTGTCTACCCAGCACGGCTCCTGGAAACTTGGAAGGTGCAGATGCGGGCCGAGCAGCTGAACATCACTTCCAAAGCGCCCAGGCGGCGTGGAAAATTCTGTCCACCTAAGTGGAGATGGAGAGCCTGGACTGCAGCCCCGCCCCAGGAGGCCCCTCAGTCCTCCAAGCCGGGCTCCGCATAGAGACCGCACCGCACGCCGCAGAAGCCCCTTCTGCCAGCGCGGCCCGGCCAGGGGCTGGGGAGGGGCCGGGGGACTGAACCGAGAGCGCATCCAGCCCCGACTCACCTGTCACCCGGGCCGCTTCAGGCCGCACGTGCAGGGCGTGCGGTCACGGACTGGGTCGGTACCTGAGTCCCCACGCTGCGTCTCCGCATGCGTCCCCTTCTAGGCGCAGCCGCCGACTACCAGCCCGCGAGACCCCCGCTTCCGCCTCTGGCTCCCTTCGTGGTCACATGACCAGAGGGGCGGAGAGCAGGGCGGGGCGTCATGTGACCGCTCGCCGGCGCGTGCTGATGACGCAAAAGCCCGCGCTCGCAGTTTCACCGTCTAGAGAAGGGAGTTGAGGAAGGAGTTGGGGTCCTGGTGTGGGCAGTCCGGGTGCAGCCGGAGAGAGCTGGGTCGGACATCCAGGTAAAGCAGAAGCGAGGGCTGGCGATGGCGAGGGTGGCGGGAGGTGTCGCCTCCCTCTCGGGCCCTCCGCGGGTGCCCTGAGCTGGGGTCCGTCCGCCTGGCTCACGGTCCTGGCTTTTTGCACGTCGAGCAGTGAGGCTTGGGCAGGCTGCCCCCGCTGCCCGAGACGCCATCTCTCCGTCCTTCCGCCCTGATAGGGAACGGATCTCGAATTCTTCATGCAGATTAATCCGGTTGGAGCGGTCTTTAAATTTTTTTTTTTTAATGTTTTATTTTTATTTCTAGGAGGGAGAGAGAGAGAGAGAGACAGCGTGAGCAGGGGAGGGTCAGAGAGAGAGGGAGTCACAGACTGAAATAGGCTCCAGGCTCAGAGCCGGCAGTCAGCACAGAGCCCGACGCGGGGCTCGAACCCACGAACCGCGAGATCATGACCTAAGCGAAAGTCGGACGCTCAACCGACTAAGCCACCCAGGCGCCCCAAGGAGCTATCTTTAAAAGCAGGTACTCGGATAACGAGTGAAGCGCCGGAGCGCCAGTGTATGGAGCACCCGTTTATGGCGAAACGGTGGTTGCTGCTATTGTTGTCGATCTCAGTTCTTGATGGATCGCCTGTGTTGTGTGAGGAGCTGTTTTACGTGTAGAGCGTGTCAGAGGTCTAGTTTAAGCTGCTGCCTGGGTGAGGGAGTGGCCATGTGAACAAACAGTTGTGATGAGTTTTATAATAGAAGTGTGTGTGGGGGGAAGAAAGAGATAGTGGTAGCATGGGGGAGGGGCAAGCAATTGCTTGTGTGGATAGAAGATGTATCCTTGCATCTCGTAAAAGGAGACACAGCTCCAGCTGGATTCCTACAAGCCGCCATGGATTTAAAGGTCGACATAGTTTCTGTAAACTGTTTGCTTTGTGCTGTACAGAAAGATGAGAGAGGGAAACCTTTTTTTAATTAAAAATTTTTTTTTTGTTTTGTGTTGTTTTTTTGAAAGACACAGAGGGGCGCCTGGGTGGTTCAGTTAAGCGTCCGACTTCGGCTCAGGTCATGATCTCACAGTTGGTGGGTTCGAGCCCCCCCCCCCCCCCCCCCCCCCCCCCATCGGGCTCTGTGCTGAAAGCTAGCTCAGAGCCTGGAGACTGCTTCGGATTCTGTATCTCCCTCCCTATCTGACCCTCACCTGCTTACACTGCCTCTCTCTCTCTCTCAGAAATAAATAAAACATTAAAAAAGAGAGACACACACAGAGAGAGCGAGTGGTAAGAGGGGCAGAAAGAGGAAGGCATAGAATCCGAGGCAGGCTCTAGGCTCCAAGCTGTCAGCACAGAGGCTGATGCTGAGAGATCATGACTTGAGTTGAAGTCCCACACTAAATCAACTGAGCCACCCAGGGGCCCTCGGGGAAACAATATATTTTAACAGATATTTATTTTGGGAGAGCACAAGTGTGGGAGGGGCGGAGAGAGGAGGACAGAGGATCCGAAGTAGGCCCTGCACTGACAGCACCGAGCGGGGTGTGGAGCTTGAACTCCCCAACCGGGAGATCCTAACATGAGCCAGAATCCGACGCTTTACCGACTGAGCCACCCAGGTGCCCCCTGAGACAGTTTTTTTAAGTTAGCTAATAACTGGTCCTGCCTGAAGCGGATCTTAGACCTCTGAATATTTTTGTCTTTGCCTTTCCCCATTCTTATGTTGAAATCCTAATGCCAGTGTGGTGGTATTAGGAAGTGGGGTCTCTAGAGGTGCTTAGGTCATGAGAGTGGAGCCCTCAGGAATGGGATTAGTGCCTTTGGTGAAAGAGGTATCCAGAGAGCTCCCTTGCACCTGGTACCCCGTGAAGAGGAAGACTGTGAAGGTCTGGGGGCTAGGAACCAGAGTGCAGCCCAGCTGGCACCTTGATCTTGGACTTCCCAGACTCCAGACTTGAGAGATACATTTCTGTTGTTTAGAAGCCACCCAGTCTCGTCTTTTCATTACAGCAGCCCGAATGGCCTAAGACAAGGTCTTTTAGGGGAGGCAAAATAACATGCTTGGGAAAATCTCAGAGAATTCCTTGTTTATTATTTCCTACATACATTGTGTGTTTTGTCAGCTCCCGCTGCTATTAGAAGATAGCGTAGACTGGTGGCTTAAACAAACAATAGAAATTCATTTCTCACGGTTTTGGAGACTAGAAGCCAGAGATGGGGGTGCTGGCGTGGTTGGCTACTGGTAAGGACCCTCTTTCTAGCTCGCAGTCAGTCCCCGTTATGTCCTTACAGTGGAGAGAGAGAGAGAGAGAGAGAGAGAGAGAGAACTCTGGTGTCTCCCCTTCTAATAAGGACCCTGATCCCTTCCTGAGGGCTGTACCTTCAGAATGTCTCAACCTGCTTATCTTCCAAAGGCCTCATCTCCAAATACCATCACCATGGGGGCTAGGCTCTCAACCTGCAAATTTTGTGGAGGGTCAGGGGAGGGAGATGCAGTTATCTCAGTGTTCTCCGTACTTGTTTGAGTCTAAGAATCATCTGGAGTTATTCATAAAAGTACTGGTTTCCTAGAGTGTCTACTAGGGACTCTGATTCAGTAGGTCTGAGATAGTACCTGTATATAAATCTATATTTCTTTTTAATTTTTTGTGTTTATTTTTGAGAGAGAAAGAAAGACAGAGTGTGAGTGGGGGAGGAGCAGAGAGAGAGGGAGACACAGAATCTGAAGCAGGCTCCAGGATCTGAGCTGTCAGCACAGAGCCTGACACGGGGCTTGAACTTCCGAACTGCAAGACCATGACCTGAGCTGAAGTTGGATGTTCAACCGACTGAACCATACAGATGCCCCAAATCTATATTTTTAAGAAGCATGTCAACTGGTTCTTAAGATCAGACAAGTTTTAGAAAACTACAAAATTTGATTTCTCTTCTGTAATGCCCTGAGATAGATAATTTCCTTCACACTGATGATAGAGAAGGTAAGCAATTTAACGAGGACTGTGAAGTTTTAAGTGGCATTGGATGGGACAGAATTTTCAGGCATCTCTGTCCATTGTCCATTCTTGTAAGCACTACTCTATAGTGTTGCTTGTAGTGTTATAATGATCAAGTTGATGAGTAATATTTGCTTCCATTTTTAAAGATTTATATGCTGGACATTATTTTCAGTGTTTTATTATATACCTTGACTCAGTCTGTTCTCACAGCAATCCTTGAGGTGGGTTTGGGTGATTTCCTATTTTAGAAGGGGGAAAATGAAACACTGAGAGGTTAAATAATTAGCCTGAAGACATTCAGTCAACTTAAATAGCAGAATCTGGCTTAGTACTCAGGTAGTCTCTTTCTAGAAGCTTCATGCTTGACCTCTACTCTGTATGGCCTCCATAGTTTGCTCTATTATGTAAAGAAATTCTGCTTTTACTGGGAGCTTACCAAGTCTGTAAATCTGTTAGAACCAGAGGACTGTCAGGAATTTATACAATAACTATATATACATCTATTTTTAAAATTTATATTTAATATATTTACAGGGCGCCTGGGTGGCTCAGTCGGTTAAGCGTCAAACTTCGGCTCAGGTCATGATCTCACAGTTTGTGGGTTTGAGCCCCACATCTGGCTCTGTGCTGACAGCTCAGAGCATGGAGCCTGCTTCAGTTTCTGCATCTTCCTCTCTCTGCCCCTTCCCTGCTCGTGCTCTGTCTCTCTCTCTCTCTCAAAAATAAATAAATGTTAAAAAAAAAATTTAAAAAATATATATTTACAGTTTTCAGAATTCAATATGTATGCATGTCAGATATGTTAACTATAGATTTTGAAGTTCTCCTTATTAAACTGATTTATTACTACTATTATCAGTTTTTAGAAAAGTGTGTCAGAAGAGTAGTCTACTTTTTCTAGCCCCTTTATGTTTTAGGTTTCTAAGAGCTATGCTGTTGAATTCTTCGGAGAACCAAGGAATGTTTTTGAAAGAGGTTATTCTCCCTCCTTTGAAAAATGACACCTTTCCCATGTGTTGAGTGCATCTGTGTTTGGTTGTCCAGGTACCATCACAATGCTTTGGTGTCCCCTCCAGGCCAGGAGAATGGACATAACAGTGTGGCACTTGTGGGATATTAGATGCATTCATATGGATGTTTAAAGCACTTTTATTTTCCTATGCGGTTATTATTCTGACACCTAAATCTTATTTTATTGTGTTTGAAAACGTAGGTAATAATTTCAAGATGCCCGGACGTTCCAGTTCCAGTTCCAGTTCCAGTTCAACTGGTTTTATATCCTTCAGTGGCATAGAATCTGCTCTCTCCTCTTTGAAAAACTTCCAATCCTGTATCAGCTCTGGAATGGACACAGCTTCTAGTGTTGCCTTGGATCTTGTAGAAACTCAAAGTAAGTAACAATTAAAACTTCTTTTGTGTTTACTTTGAGCTAACCGTCTATGGAGGCGTTACTCTGGGGATATGAGAGAAGGCTCACCTTTTGAGTGTTCTTGGGACAATCATTTAATCCCTCTGGGCATCCGTTTTCTCACTGTGTTCTGTGTACCCCGTATTCTGTGTACCCCGTAACGAAGTACTGAGGATGAAATGAGATTGACTTATTCATGTGTCTTCGAATAGTTCTGTGCCAGTAGAAACTGCCCTAGAAATTTATAGGTGAAAACAGGAAGGTTCCTGACCTCAAGGAGCAGACAGTCTAAAGTATGTGGTATTTGTGAACTGTAAGGTAGGCAAATGCGTTATAGTAAAGTTATTTTGCGGTAGTTTAAGTCTTTATGCTTGATCGATTAAGCTTATGCTAGGGGTACCAGCAAAGGAAGGCCTCTACCAAGATAGGAAAGTTCAGCTTTGATGAACTTTATCAGCATTTTTCAATCATAAGATTTCAAAAGATGTTAGTTGCTTTCTTTGGATTAGGGTTGTTTTTATTTTAAATACAGAGCAGGGGAGCAACAGTATTTTTGTTTGTTTTTAATATCGCTGGTTTTCAGTGATTTGATTGTGATGTGCCATTGCATGATTTTCTTTGTTTATTCTGTCCAGTGGTCTTTAAGCTTTATGGGTTCGTGGGCTTATGGCATTGATCAAATTTAAAAAAAAATTGCTACTATCTCTTCAAATAGTTTTTGTGTCCCTCCCCTCCCTTCTTCTGGAACTCTTAATGTATATTGGACAGCTTGGTAATGTCCGTAAGTCACTGAGGCTAGTTGATTTTTTTCAGGTTTGTTTGTTCTGTCTGGTTTCAGCCTGAAATGTCTGTTGCAGTGTCTTCAAGTTCATCGGTCTTGTCTTCTGTGGCATCTACGCTGTTGTTAATCTGTGCAATGAATTTTAAATTTCAGATACCGGAGTTTTCAGCTCTGGACATAAAAAAGAATTAAATGGAAATCTTAGTTCTGTCTTCTATTTCTCTTCATTATGTTTTACTCTATATTCTTGAGCATACTGAACATTTTTATAATAGCTGATTTAATATCCTTGTTTGCTAATTCTGTCATCTATGTCTGTTGCTGCTGTTTCACACGGAAATTGTGTGCATTATGTTGCTGAGTGTTTGGATTTTTTTGTCTTCCAGTAAAGAATTATGGCATTTGTTTTGGCAGGCATCAAAGTAATTTGTGGATTAGGCCAGTCCTTTCCAGGTTAGTTAAACTTTGTCAGTGCAGGTCAAGTTGGTGTAGATTTATCTTAGGGCCAGTTTAGCTGTGTTACGAAGCTAGGCCTTCCTGAGTCTCTGTTGATGCTCAGAGGGTTCAGTGAGGTAGCACCACTCTGCCTGATGCGATTTGAAGCTCTTCCAGTCCAATGTGAATTCTGGGTATTGTCCACTGACAGCTCCCAGCCCTTTTCTCTCAGTAGTCTAGGATGGGGGGCAGGGGATCTCTGCAGATTCCTTGAGCCCTTTCTCTGCATAGCTCCCCACAGTGCTGCTGTCTTAGCCTCCCTGAACGCCAGTCTGTCTCCTTCGTCCTTCAAGATTTGCCTTCTCTGCTTGGATTCCTCCTCCCTTGTGCAGGGACTGCGTGACTTACCTAACTTGTTTTTCCCTCTCTGCAGGACCCACAGTTCTCTGCCTATTGCCCCCACTGTCTGAAAGCAGCTGTTGTTTATGTTTCGTCAGCTCTCTAGTCGTTCACTGCAGGGGGCCAGTTCCATTCCAGTTCATTCATGGCCAGCAGCAGAAATGACCCATAATTTGTAGTGGGTAGCCTCTAAAGTTCTTAACCCTTCCCAGCCTGATTTGAGGTCTATTTTTGGACATTTGGCTTTGGTAGATAACTTGGATAAAAGTCATAATAAAATCTTCAGCAAAGAGAGAAAAGGTGGAGTGTAAACCAGTTGACTATGTTGTTGGACAGCAGCCACTGGATGGGAACAAATTAAAGTGCAGAAGAGCACGTGGGAAAGTCCATCATCTTTGTAACAGAAATACTCCCTTTCTTCGCCTCTGAGATTAGCACCCTTTCTGTTTCCCTTCTGGGTTGCCCAACTTCATCACAAATTAGAATAAACTTTGTTAAAAGAGATGTTAGTGATCACTTAGGTACCATTTTCTCACTTCGTATTGTAATTCTCTTGTTGCTGCTATATTATTAAATTGTTGGTGAAGGGAATTCTTGTTCCCAAGAACTTGGAGGGGGCTGATGTGTATTGTTTCCTGTTGGTTGCATTTTCCTATAACAGGTTCAACTTCTAGCTCATTTGAAATGGTCACCTTTCCCTGTGTTATGTTATAGTATGTGGTATGTACGCAATTTGACTTTTACTGTCACCACGTCTACTATTTTTTTCTCTAAATGTGTTGGTTATTATGGGGATGGTTTCCTTTTTTTTTTTAATTAAAATTTATTTAAAGCTTATTTATTTTGAGAGAGACAGAAACAGTGCAAGTTGGGGAGGCACAGAGAGAGAAGGCGAGAGAGAATTCCAAGCAGACTTCACTGTCCATGCAGAGCCCGACGTGGGGCTCAAATGCACGAAACCGTGAGACCATGACCTGAGCTGAAACCAAGAGTCGATGTTTAACTGACTGAACCACCCAGGTGCTTTCTTACTTACTTAGTTGGGAAATGAAATTTCTTACATTAGGAGATTTTTCAGGTAACTGGGGCTTATTTTTTGGATTTTTAAATTTATTATGTACTCTTCTGCTTTCTTAGGCAGAAGTACTGACTGAATTTATCAAAAGTGTTGTTAATATCATCTTTGAGCAGTTAAATTTTCATAAGCCCTTTAGTTAAATAAAATTGAGGAATAGTCCAATTCCTTTTTTTTTTTTAAGTTTATTTATTTTGAGAGAGAGAGAGTGAGTGCGTGCACGTGCTTGCACACGACTAGGAGGGGCAGGGAGAGAAGACAGACTCCGAGGCAGGCTCCGCACTGTCCCAGCAGAGCCAGGTACGGGGTTTGATCCCAGGAACCATGAGATCATGACCTGAGCTGATATCAAGAGTCAGACACTCAACCAACTGAGCCGCTCAGGTGCCCCTGGGAACAGCCCTGTTCTAAAACATTAATGTACCTCAGGTTGTGTCCTCTCTCTCTTCCTCTCTGCCAGGAAAAGAAGCATTTGAAAGGAAGGAAAGAAGAGTTTTGTCAGAAACTACTCCTATTACAGGCAGTTGCTCTTAAAATGTGAGAATTAAAAGTTGGCCTCTGTGTATATCTAAATTAATATTTTAAAAGTGCAGAATCAAAACTAATCAGTAGAGCAAGTCTTTGCAGTTCCTTTGTGTACATCTGCCACCTGTATTAATGTCTGTGGTGTTACTTGTCATATTAGAGGTTTGGGTTTGCAAGACTTGATTTTCAACACTTGATTTTTTTTTTTTTTTTTTTTATTACCCCTAAGTGGCAGGTTTGCAGTTACCCACAGAATAATGGATGGCACTTAATTGTGACTGTGTGGACCAGTAGTCATACTGAGCTCTTGATCCAGTTTTTTTTTTTTTTACATCAAAAACAGAATTCTTTAATCTTGAGTTAAATAGATATTAAAATTTAGGGTTTTTTTTTTCAAAGAAGAGCATAACATAAAGCTGAATTTAAAGAAATGCAGACTTGTAAATAAGTTTTTGGACTGCTCTTACCGAATCCTAGGTGTTTTAAGTTGCTATATTAGAAATTAGATAAACAAGTTCTCCTCTAAGATCTAAATAGAAAATAAACAATCTAGGAAGGCTTCATCAGATCTGCTTTGCTCCTGATTCCTTTATAACATAATTGTGCAAAGCGGATTTATGTACATATGCAGATTTATGTGTATGTGCAAAGCAGATTAAGTGTACAGTGGACTTTTCTGTGGCATTTATTATCATTAGGGTAGCTGACTGTTAATTTAAAAATCAGCAATATTCTACCTGCTTGGCTTTTCTTGTGTTCCCAGGTGAGCCCCACCCCCACTTAAGATGAGGTAACTAACCATGTCCTGATGTCCTGAAACCAATTAATGGGTTTTTCTGTGTTTCATGGTTTGTTTGTTTTTGTATTTATATCATATTTTGCTTTGTTAATGTGTCTCATCTTCCCTTTTAACCTGGTCTCCTCGGGGCAGAGACCTCAGGGTGCTCATAGGACATTTTCAGAGGTTGGGACTTAATGTGATGTTTATCAGGTGTGGAAGGTGTGTGAGTTACTTAGTAAGTGTCTTTGAAGACTGTTCTCCAAATACAGATAATTGAATCCACCATGTAGAAAATTAAGTTGTTTTCAAAAATTAGAATTTGTGCGTTTTAATTTGTAAACCTAATTTGTTAAGGCTTTGCATTTAATCATTGTGTAAGAGCTAATTTATGTAGTGGTTCTCAAACTCAAGGGTGCATCAGAACCACTCTGAGGGCTTTTTGTTAAAACACAGCTTGCTGGGTGCCGCCATCAGTTTCCGCCATCAGTTTCCGAAGGTTGGTCTGCATTTGTAACAAGTTACCAGGCCATCCTGATGCTGGCGCTGCTGGTCCAGGGTCTTTTCTTTGAGAACCCGGGGTCTAATTGTCATTTCCTAGTTGGCAGGAAACATCCACCACTAGGTGGCACCAGAATACTTTTTATGAAGTAGCCTTTGGCCTTGGCGCCAGGTTTGTTGATTGCAGAGTTCAGGATTGTGCAAAAGGTACAATCACTGAATTGTTGGAATTTTGTAGCTTAGAGCCTGAGTTATTCCATATAAGAAAACAAGCATATGTTGACTGTTTCCGACCAGAGAAACTATACGGCTGTTAGGGTTTTAAGATGAACTCTTCCGGGAATGAGGAATACCACATGTTTCCACTAGCTTCGTTTTTAGTTATGCAGGCTGTTCATTTTCTTTTGCCAGTGGTAGATGTTGACCCTGTCGCAAGATAGAAATATACACCGCAGCTTTGTTATTTATTATTCTTTGTTATTTATTAT